CAAGGTGTCTTACCGAGAGCAGTGAGGAAGGTGAGGGCAGGTTCAATGTGTCTTACCGAGAGCAGTGAGGAAGATGAGGGCAGGTTCAAGGTGTCCTACCGAGAGCAGTGAGGAAGATGAGGGCAGGTTCAATGTGTCTTACCAAGAGCAGTGAGGAAGATGAGGGCAGGTTCAAGGTGTCTTACCGAGAGCAGTGAGGGTAATGAAGGCAAGTTCAAGGTGTCTTACCGAGAGCAGTGAGGAAGATGAGGGCAGGTTCAAGGTGTCTTACCGAGAACAGTGAGGAAGATGAGGGCAGGTTCAAGGTGTCTTACCGAGAACAGTGAGGAAGATGAGGGCAGGTTCAAGGTGTCTTACCGAGAACAGTGAGGAAGATGAGGGCAGGTTCAAGGTGTCTTACCGAGAGCAGTGAGGAAGATGAGGGCAGGTTCAAGGTGTCCTACCGAGAGCAGTGAGGAAGATGAGGGCAGGTTCAATGTGTCTTACCAAGAGCAGTGAGGAAGATGAGGGCAGGTTCAAGGTGTCTTACCGAGAGCAGTGAGGAAGATGAGGGCAGGTTCAAGGTGTCTTACCGAGAACAGTGAGGAAGATGAGGGCAGGTTCAAGGTGTCTTACCGAGAACAGTTAGGAAGATGAGGGCAGGTTCAAGGTGTCTTACCGAGAACAGTGAGGAAGATGAGGGCAGGTTCAAGGTGTCTTACCGAGAGCAGTGAGGAAGGTGAGGGCAGGTTCAAGGTGTCTTACCGAGAACAGTGAGGGTAATGAAGGCAAGTTCAAGATGTCTTACCGAGAGCAGTGAGGAAGATGAGGGCAGGTTCAAGGTGTCCTACCGAGAGCAGTGAGGAAGATGAGGGCAGGTTCAATGTGTCTTACTGAGAGCAGTGAGGAAGATGAGGGCAGGTTCAAGGTGTCTTACCGAGAACAGTGAGGGTAATGAAGGCAAGTTCAAGGTGTCTTACCGAGAGCAGTGAGGAAGATGAGGGCAGGTTCAAGGTGTCCTACCGAGAGCAGTGAGGAAGATGAGGGCAGGTTCAATGTGTCTTACCGAGAGCAGTGAGGAAGATGAGGGCAGGTTCAAGGTGTCTTACCGAGAGCAGTGAGGGTAATGAAGGCAAGTTCAAGGTGTCTTACCGAGAGCAGTGAGGAAGATGAGGGCAGGTTCAAGGTGTCTTACCGAGAACAGTGAGGAAGATGAGGGCAGGTTCAAGGTGTCTTACCGAGAGCAGTGAGGGTAATGAAGGCAAGTTCAATGTGTCTTACCAAGAGCAGTGAGGAAGATGAGGGCAGGTTCAAGGTGTCTTACCGAGAGCAGTGAGGGTAATGAAGGCAAGTTCAAGGTGTCTTACCAAGAGCAGTGAGGAAGATGAGGGCAGGTTCAAGGTGTCTTACCGAGAGCAGTGAGGGTAATGAAGGCAAGTTCAAGGTGTCTTACCGAGAGCAGTGAGGAAGATGAGGGCAGGTTCAAGGTGTCTTACCGAGAGCAGTGAGGAAGATGAGGGCAGGTTCAAGGTGTCTTACCGAGAACAGTGAGGAAGATGAGGGCAGGTTCAAGGTGTCTTACCGAGAACAGTGAGGAAGATGAGGGCAGGTTCAAGGTGTCTTACCGAGAACAGTGAGGAAGATGAGGGCAGGTTCAAGGTGTCTTACCGAGAGCAGTGAGGAAGGTGAGGGCAGGTTCAAGGTGTCTTACCGAGAACAGTGAGGAAGATGAGGGCAGGTTCAAGGTGTCTTACCGAGAGCAGTGAGGAAGATGAGGGCAGGTTCAAGGTGTCTTACCGAGAGCAGTGAGGAAGATGAGGGCAGGTTCAAGGTGTCTTACCGAGAACAGTGAGGAAGATGAGGGCAGGTTCAAGGTGTCTTACCGAGAACAGTTAGGAAGATGAGGGCAGGTTCAAGGTGTCTTACCGAGAACAGTGAGGAAGATGAGGTCAGGTTCAAGGTGTCTTACCGAGAGCAGTGAGGAAGGTGAGGGCAGGTTCAAGGTGTCTTACCGATAACAGTGAGGGTAATAAAGGCAAGTTCAAGGTGTCTTACCGAGAGCAGTGAGGAAGATGAGGGCAGGTTCAAGGTGTCCTACCGAGAGCAGTGAGGAAGATGAGGGCAGGTTCAATGTGTCTTACTGAGAGCAGTGAAGAAGATGAGGGCAGGTTCAAGGTGTCTTACCGAGAACAGTGAGGGTAATGAAGGCAAGTTCAAGGTGTCTTACCGAGAGCAGTGAGGAAGATGAGGGCAGGTTCAAGGTGTCCTACCGAGAGCAGTGAGGAAGATGAGGGCAGGTTCAATGTGTCTTACCAAGAGCAGTGAGGAAGATGAGGGCAGGTTCAAGGTGTCTTACCGAGAGCAGTGAGGGTAATGAAGGCAAGTTCAAGGTGTCTTACCGAGAGCAGTGAGGAAGATGAGGGCAGGTTCAAGGTGTCTTACCGAGAACAGTGAGGAAGATGAGGGCAGGTTCAAGGTGTCTTACCGAGAGCAGTGAGGGTAATGAAGGCAAGTTCAAGGTGTCTTACCAAGAGCAGTGAGGAAGATGAGGGCAGGTTCAAGGTGTCTTACTGAGAGCAGTGAGGGTAATGAAGGCAAGTTCAAGGTGTCTTACCAAGAGCAGTGAGGAAGATGAGGGCAGGTTCAAGGTGTCCTAACGAGAGCAGTGAGGAAGATGAGGGCAGGTTCAATGTGTCTTACCAAGAGCAGTGAGGAAGATGAGGGCAGGTTCACGGTGTCTTACCGAGAGCAGTGAGGGTAATGAAGGCAAGTTCAAGGTGTCTTACCGAGAGCAGTGAGGAAGATGAGGGCAGGTTCAAGGTGTCTTACCGAGAACAGTGAGGAAGATGAGGGCAGGTTCAAGGTGTCTTACCGAGAACAGTGAGGAAGATGAGGGCAGGTTCAAGGTGTCTTACCGAGAGCAGTGAGGAAGGTGAGGGCAGGTTCAATGTGTTTTACCGAGAGCAGTGAGGAAGATGAGGGCAGGTTCAAGGTGTCCTACCGAGAGCAGTGAGGAAGATGAGGGCAGGTTCAATGTGTCTTACCAAGAGCAGTGAGGAAGATGAGGGCAGGTTCAAGGTGTCTTACCGAGAGCAGTGAGGGTAATGAAGGCAAGTTCAAATGTCTTACCGAGAGCAGTGAGGAAGATGAGGGCAGGTTCAAGGTGTCTTACCGAGAACAGTGAGGAAGATGAGGGCAGGTTCAAGGTGTCTTACCGAGAACAGTGAGGAAGATGAGGGCAGGTTCACGGTGTCTTACCGAGAACAGTGAGGAAGATGAGGGCAGGTTCAAGGTGTCTTACCGAGAGCAGTGAGGAAGATGAGGGCAGGTTCAAGGTGTCCTACCGAGAGCAGTGAGGAAGATGAGGGCAGGTTCAATGTGTCTTACCAAGAGCAGTGAGGAAGATGAGGGCAGGTTCAAGGTGTCTTACCGAGAGCAGTGAGGAAGATGAGGGCAGGTTCAAGGTGTCTTACCGAGAACAGTGAGGAAGATGAGGGCAGGTTCAAGGTGTCTTACCGAGAACAGTTAGGAAGATGAGGGCAGGTTCAAGGTGTCTTACCGAGAACAGTGAGGAAGATGAGGGCAGGTTCAAGGTGTCTTACCGAGAGCAGTGAGGAAGGTGAGGGCAGGTTCAAGGTGTCTTACCGAGAACAGTGAGGGTAATGAAGGCAAGTTCAAGGTGTCTTACCGAGAGCAGTGAGGAAGATGAGGGCAGGTTCAAGGTGTCCTACCGAGAGCAGTGAGGAAGATGAGGGCAGGTTCAATGTGTCTTACTGAGAGCAGTGAGGAAGATGAGGGCAGGTTCAAGGTGTCTTACCGAGAACAGTGAGGGTAATGAAGGCAAGTTCAAGGTGTCTTACCGAGAGCAGTGAGGAAGATGAGGGCAGGTTCAAGGTGTCCTACCGAGAGCAGTGAGGAAGATGAGGGCAGGTTCAATGTGTCTTACCAAGAGCAGTGAGGAAGATGAGGGCAGGTTCAAGGTGTCTTACCGAGAGCAGTGAGGGTAATGAAGGCAAGTTCAAGGTGTCTTACCGAGAGCAGTGAGGAAGATGAGGGCAGGTTCAAGGTGTCTTACCGAGAACAGTGAGGAAGATGAGGGCAGGTTCAAGGTGTCTTACCGAGAGCAGTGAGGGTAATGAAGGCAAGTTCAAGGTGTCTTACCAAGAGCAGTGAGGAAGATGAGGGCAGGTTCAAGGTGTCTTACCGAGAGCAGTGAGGGTAATGAAGGCAAGTTCAAGGTGTCTTACCAAGAGCAGTGAGGAAGATGAGGGCAGGTTCAAGGTGTCTTACCGAGAGCAGTGAGGGTAATGAAGGCAAGTTCAAGGTGTCTTACCGAGAGCAGTGAGGAAGATGAGGGCAGGTTCAAGGTGTCCTACCGAGAGCAGTGAGGAAGATGAGGGCAGGTTCAATGTGTCTTACCAAGAGCAGTGAGGAAGATGAGGGCAGGTTCAAGGTGTCTTACCGAGAGCTGTGAGGGTAATGAAGGCAATTTCAAGGTGTCTTACCGAGAACAGTGAGGAAGATGAGGGCAGGTTCAAGGTGTCTTACCGAGAACAGTGAGGAAGATGAGGGCAGGTTCAATGTGTCTTACCGAGAGCAGTGAGGAAGATGAGGGCAGGTTCAAGGTGTCTTACCGAGAACAGTGAGGAAGATGAGGGCAGGTTCAATGTGTCTTACCGAGAGCAGTGAGGAAGGTGAGGGCAGGTTCAAGGTGTCTTACCGAGAACAGTGAGGAAGATGAGGGCAGGTTCAAGGTGTCTTACCGAGAGCAGTGAGGAAGGTGAGGGCAGGTTCAATGTGTCTTACTGAGAGCAGTGAGGAAGATGAGGGCAGGTTCAAGGTGTCTTACCGAGAACAGTGAGGGTAATGAAGGCAAGTTCAAGGTGTCTTACCGAGAGCAGTGAGGAAGATGAGGGCAGGTTCAAGGTGTCCTACCGAGAGCAGTGAGGAAGATGAGGGCAGGTTCAATGTGTCTTACCAAGAGCAGTGAGGAAGATGAGGGCAGGTTCAAGGTGTCTTACCGAGAGCAGTGAGGAAGATGAGGGCGTATCTGAGCCTCATGTTGAGAGTATCACCTGAGTGACTCCTGAGGGACGCTGTAGTGGTCAGGGACTTGGACCATGGCTGACAGGTCTGCAACAATAAGATATTAATCAGAAAAGCAATAAGATTGTAACCTTCTGGAGGTTTCATGAAGGAGGTAAACTCCAGGGTTTTCTTTTTTATTTTGTAATAACAAAAACTGTTGTGTCAGAAAGCATTTGAATGACTGAGCATCTTCCTTCCTTGAATGAATGAAAAGCATCTTCATTCGAGCTTTGAATGACGAGACGCTTTTCATTCACCCCTAAGACTTTCTATAATTTGTTTTGGTCAGCTTTATTTGAGGCTGGAGCTATATTCCAAGTGTGCTCTCTTACAGCTTTGTTATTGACATCCAAGAATAAAATGTAACTTACATAATTAAGTTTGTGTATACTATAGTTTGAGACTCTATGGTGTATGTATTTATAATATTTAAGTTTAACAGGATAGGATTAGTAGACCTTTGGAGGGTGTCGAAAATGAGTTAAAGAAGTTACTCCCAGGATCTTGTGAGAAATCTATTTTCTTTAAAATTGTGACAAAATAAATAATTCATGGATGTGGTTTAATTTGTTTGTTGCTTTAAATATATGCAATCTTCAGGGTAAACCCTCGTTTGTATTTACCTATATTACTATAATAATTGGCTTACTTTTTCAAATCGAAGGAAATCACGGGCAAATAGGGAATTTTAGTTTTGTACCCGACGAGAGTTGGCAGCGCCTGTTGAATTGCCCCCAGCTGTTAGGTATGCAACACGCGAACACAGCTGTCTGCCGTATCACATCGCTGAATCGCGGGCGTCTCAGTCATTATGTTAGATGCAATCTGTTGAACGAATCATCTATATTTTATTTCAGTGGTTTAGCATTCGTGCAGATAATGAGTGTTGTACTTGGGCCTTGTTTTATTTCACTAATTTGTTCAAGCCCTTTACTGGATTGGATTCCGTTCTGTTTCGTGTCTAAGTGACACGGATATTTTATGGTATCTGAAAACTTCCGAGAGATATTTTAGAGTATTGTAATTAAAAATACATAAAAATGTTATGTATATAATTCACTGTTGGTAAATTATAAATGGATTAATGCATAAAGGGATGACTAAATGAACGGATGAATGGTCGGGCCACAAGATTAAGAAATATTTAATAATTTAATCGATGGAAGCATGAGTGGATTGACGGATGAACGGATTGGTGTACGAATGAATTGATAAATAAATTGATGAATGAATGATAAACGGATGAATGAATGGATGGTATGAATGAATGGATGGGGAATGTGAGGAGTTGATTGACAGGCAAAAAGGAGAGTTCGTCACGAAAGAACTTGAAACATGACGAAATAAGTGAACAGCTCGATGAGTGTGAGTTTTAGGTATATATGGTTTGCTATTGACCGATCTTCGGTGACTATCAGTTGATGAATTAAACCCCTCATTCCCCAGTGCTTATCTACAACCCCACAATAGTGAGTGATCATCGTCTCATTTATTCTGGGATACAACTACGCTAGATGTTCGCATCTATTGTATTTTGATTTTGCCTTTTGTATTTATTCTTCAACTAATTTTGAGATTTTTGTAAGTTCTCCAAACTTTGAAGATAGTTTTGACATGGAGTTAATATAGACAGACGTGTTTTATGACCACTATGTGCCTCTATGTGTCTCGAAATCTTCCAAAACATTTAAAACGAACCAAAATATCACCCTTATGTTACTTCATGTTAGAACTACTTTGCGAGTTTCAGTAGCATCCAAATGGATGTTAATTACTAACACATGGTTGGTTATGGCAATACCTGACGTGGATTGATGTAGACTGATGTTAGATGCTGCATATTTGTGCTACAGTAGGTTTAGTTGTTTTGACATTTTTACAAAATGGGAGCCAACACAGGTGCCTATATATTCCTCTTTGTTGCATTCTCTGCGGCTGTATCGGTAAGTAATATGTTCACACATTTTTTATGATCCTTGGTGTGGTTTTAAAAGAAATATCTTAAAATGATTACATATACGGTACCGGTATTGCTTTTATGGCATTTTATGCTTATATTTAGTAGATCTAGTAATAAAAGATTCTCAAAGGGATTACGACGTAATTGGTTTGGTTTGTCTATCAGAAATTTCAGGTGAACATTTCGTGATTGTTCATGAATATGATTAGAGTTGATTTCATCATAAAATATGATTTCCATTATGAGGACTCATGAAGAAGCAGCTTTCTAAGAGTTTGTAGTAGACTCTTTATATTCTTAATGTATAACGTCACTTCTAATGTATGACTGGAAAGGGAATACAAGCCTTGGATATTAAAACGTTTGTTGGGACAGCATTTACGAACAAATGAAATGAATCATGAGGCCCTTTGATTTTGTTTTTTATATTGTTTATTATTTATTTCATTTATCTTTGACACCGCTTCCTAAAAACGTTATACAATACTATTTTCACAAATACCTTTGTGTAGTGGTTGGTAACAACCTAATTGAATTTATGAAAGATGTATTCAAATTTTTAGTAAAATATATTGAGAGTAAGGAGAAGTTAATGTTGTTAATATTGTCACAAATCACAAGTCTAGCATTTTAAATAGTTTTGACAGGTACATTAATGAGTAGTGGCATTTGTCGGAGTAAATAAATGCCCACTTTAGGGCACACACTACTCAGCGATTGTTGAGGGAAATCGTAGCAAACTTTGATGCGGTTAACATTGTATTTTGACAGGTTAATGTTATTAGAATACAATATTGACAACATTAGTCAAAGTTGGTATAAAGCATTGCTTTGATATGAACACTATGTCTAACTGTCTTAAATTAATCCGATGACATATTCTGAGAATTTCAAAAGGCGTTACAAAATGGTGCATAACAAAAGAATTTACAATTACATATGTGGTAGAAAGGATTCTTTTGTTTCTGAAAACGAGAAATAATTTTGTTTATGAAACTACATAACATTTCACTATGTCAGATTTCTCTGAATATTCGGGTTAACGGTTGAAGCAGTTAACTGATGTGAACAAGCCGTTGGTTACTTCAATAATCTATTATACCGTACGTGTAAAAGTTTGTTCATATTTTTTATACTTTTGATTCTCTCTCTAGGCTTGTTTAAACTCATTCCAATGACGTTTAAATAATTTAAATTTGTAAATTAAATAGAAAATATTCTTTAGGCAAACCCTGTACAGAAGAATCACATCACTGTCGAACCATACCATTCAATTAATTCCCAAATGTCGGTGAACAGCAATTATCAGAGATAATTTGACGTGGGTTGACGTTTACACCACATTTTACACAACATTCAGAACAACTCGGTGACTTTATATTCAGTTCAGAATGGGGTATAACACTCCTGGGTGTGTGTTTTTGTTTTATTTATTCGCAGCAGCAATTTCTGTAAGTATTTTTATTTCCACTCACTCAACTACCTTGATGCAGAATGCCTTTCTGAATTTGCAGGGAATTCGTAACAAAAGATTACAGATTAAATTAGGGAAAATGTACCGGTATTTGCAAACTTTTTTGAAAGTACGATAGAAAGTGAGAAGTTTACGAATAAATGATTACGTAAGATCACGAATACTATATAGTAATCGTGCGTAAGATGTATAGTGTTTTAATAAAAAAGCGATTAAAAGACTGTGATTGGGATTGATTGGATTGGAATAGGTTTGATTAGAAGGATCGAAACATGCTTGGGATACATAATGTATTAGGCTTGACTCTAAATGGACAAAAAAATTAATTAATATTACACCATTAGACAAATTACTGACAAAGTAAACATATATAACAGTTTTAGAAATGATTGTAACAATAGTCGTAAATGTTTGCCAACAATGAATTTGTGTACAGTAAGGTAAATGCACCAGTAGCTGACAGTGCTCCAGAAGCTGACAGTTTGAGTTTCTTAACATTATAATGTGGTATCATAAAAATATTTACACATGATTGCATTGTTAGAAGAACATATGTTTATTCTTGATGTGTTTACAAAAAAATCAGTGAAACTTAGCCCATACTCGCTGAATGGTGGTGGTTTGAAAGCGACCCTGTCTGTACACATCACATTTAGTCGATTCCCTTAATGAAATTGTTAAGAAGGTAAGTTTGGTTTTTTGTCATTTCGCTAAATTTTTTAAATAGTATTAATGATTAGGCTCATTATTTTTATCAATTATACCTTTGTTGACAATTTCATGATAAAATTGGGGTGTTAGGGGTTTTGGATTAAAAATTATATCAATGTCAGGCTTTGGTACACAAAAGCCATACAAGTTCCAATAGCTGACAGGGGATATTTGCTACTTGCACAATATTAAATTGGTTTTACCCATCGAAATTTGCATGCTATTTATAATTTATGTGATCTCACATTTTTATAAAATGATTTTAATTTTTTAATTAATAAGCCAAATTATCGAAAAAAATTTATATATGTTTTTAATATAAATAAAAAATATATATATTTTTTTATGTAAATATTTTTTATTTTAAAATATGTAAAATAAATTTTTTTAATAACGTTTTACATGATTTTATAATTTAATTATTAAGTTGGATTTTATTCGTCTTATAAATTATAAAACCCTTAGGTTTAGCATCTAGTACATGTATAGTTCCAGTGTCAGCTACTGGGACAACTGACTGTCAGCTACTAGTACAAGCGTTTTTTTCACTGTCAGCCACTGGAACACGTACAAAGGTTGAATTAAGTTTAAAAATGTTATAAAATATATTTAAAAAACCTTTTTTGTATGACAAATTTGAAAACTACACTAAATTTAGAATCACATAAAATCCGTAATATCTCTTTAGTTCCTATTTATTCAAAACCACGGATTATTAAGTGCGTATAGTTTCTTATACTGTCAGCTACTGGTGCGTTTACCTTATTTTCTTTTTATAAATAACCTGCAAAAACTAGCCACGTTTGTATAAATACCCGCTTCAGAGGGTTTTATTAAATAGCAGTTTTCTTAATAAAACTACAAATACTTAGCGAAACTAATGTAGAATTTTTAAAGATTGTAAATAAAAGAATTGATGACGAACTAAGCTAACGGACGGCGATTCAATTAATAGCACAACTAAGAGGTGCCACAGAAGAGATGTTATGGGAATACCATTTAATTTGTTTACTGTCATGATTGCCATTTTCAGACAATGCTTTAAAGTTGCCAACACATTCTTACAATACCAGGTACAAAACGTAATCTCCACATAGACTTCATTTAAAAAAAAAAAAAAACTTGTATGTTTGGGACAAAAATTAATAACTTTTTTATCAGAACAAACTAAAAGTAAAAAGAACTTGTACATTTAATAAGATTATTTAATCAACCAGGTATATGCCATCAAATAACTTCCCACTTCTTGTAACTAGAAAAATTTTAGTTTTGCATTTTCATTCTAAATGGTATATATTTGAGGGACGTTTGATTTTGTGTTGTTGGTAGTTAGACAAAACGTTGGTGCTACTCTATGAAATCTACTTATTCTCTGTATACAATAACTTGGCGTCTGGACCCTTGACTACCTGCGACCGGGCCGGGACCGTCCCTTGCTCGCTCACTTCTTGAGCAGCTGTTTCCATAATTAGTCACCTAGTCACACCCCCAATGCACTTATTAACTTTTTTGTGCGGGGCGGAATTTTACATTTTTATCTGTACGAGCAAAAAGTCCATGAATAAATAAGTAAAATGATACCAAACTTGACCATATTCTTATTACGTTTGTAGAACCTACAGGCATATGTACAGTAGCTAACGAGGAATAGCAACTTTATAAGGGATAGAAATAAAACTGTAATATCGTTATGTATGAATTATCTTTAATTAAATCAGACGTGCATCGCGAATCTACAAACACAAAAAAGGAATAGTGATTTATTTAAATTTCCTAATATTGTTAGGGGAATAAAGTTTAAGAAGTAAAAACATGTAAAACGTGTTGAGGTGATGTAGTTTGTCACAACCTAATTCATATGTTTCTTTGAGTAGAGCTAACCAATCACATTTAAGACTATTGTAAACGTGAAACACTTTTAAACCGTACATTTCATTAAGTATACGTAATGTTATGTGTTAAAAGGTAAAAAAACTAATCGTAAATGCGAGCGAAAGTAGCATTTGGCATGAAAAGTCAAAATTGCGTCATTTTGTACGGGCCAAATGGTACTTAAAATAATCATACAATCATCATGTTTCTAAGGATATGGCAATTGTCGATAAAAAATCACAGAATTATGTGTATGGGTTGAGTAAATGTTTTTAAGCAAATTAAATTTCTGTATAAAGCGTAGGCCTACGACGGGCCTACCGTAGTTTTTCGGCAGATTATACATATTTCATCAATAGCATTTCAATACGCGATTAATCTAATGACGATACCCTCACGTCAGAATCGTCAGAGGTCTTAGGACGTGAATCACTCATTTCCCGGAAGACATGGGGGTTAGTTCAAAGATATAAATAACAATATCAACGGTATGCATAATATGAATATTTTACCCCCCCCCCCCCCACTCGACATATTTATAATATGAATAACATTGTTAGGTATTTTGGTAAATTATATTAAAATACAATTATATCAACCATCAACCAGATAAAAAATAATTTAAACGTAAGCTTAACTTAACGGAATATGGTCAAGTTTAGTATCATTTTTCTTAAAATTTCATGAACTTTTTGCTTGTGCAGAAAAAAAAATAAAATTCCGTCCCGCACAAAAAAGTTCATAATTGCAGTGGAGGTGCTACTAGGAGACTAATTATGGAAACAGCTGCTCAACAGTGGGCGAGAAAGGTTTCGGCCCCGGTCCGTCCGCAGGTAGACTAGGGTTCAGACGCCAAGTTAGTGTATACAGAGTAAACTCCTGATTATCCATGTATTCTAATGTTTATGGTGTTTCAGACGGCATTCATCGGTCTGGGGGCCTTCACACCACTCTTGCTGGGGGCGTCAACCCTCACCGTCCCCTTCGCCGTGGACTTGAGGGATTTCAGGCTGACTCACAATTGGTTCTACCGACCACCCACCGATGGCGCAAACACACCCCAGCCATAAACTGTCACGTCACATGTTGTGAATAAATACTTGTCACTCTGTGTCAGTTTTATTACATAGCCTACTGTCTAACATGTGTCAGAGCTGTTGGTTGAAGGAGGGAATAGTACAAATTTTGGAACGTTTTCCTCAAGAATAGATTCTATAGCGATACAGCAGGGTGTTTATTTCAAGTTGAGATGACGGAAGGATAAAGTTGAACTAGTGGAAGGTTTGTTACTGAGGTCACCAGGTTCTTTAGTCTGTACCATTAGTTTGCTCTAGTAATCAAGGATCGCGGGTTCGAACCATCAAAAGTTACTGAATTGTAATGAAATATGTTTGTTAGCTTTAGTGTAGATCTAAGTGTCGTGGTGAGAAACTACTTTCTATCAATAATGCTTAGGGGAATTAGAAAGGCTCGTTTAAGTTAAGCGTAGAACATTTCAAAATGTTGAGTTCATTTACAAAATTAAACTTAGTTTCCCCATAGAGTTGGTTGTAATGACATGTTTAGAAAAATATATTCTTTGAAGACTTATCGCCAGAAAAGAAGAGACGTGAGGTTTACTAGTATTCAAATGTCTAGGGGAAGGTAAATTATGTATAGTTGTCGAGACTTGAACAAATATGCAGAGATTTAATTATTAGTCCCGTGGTAACAACAAAAGCCAAATTGAAGAATAAGGTGTTTGGAATCAAGTTGAAACGTGTACTGTTACATTTACAAACAAGTAACTTACGCATATATCGCGGTGATGTGCAATTATGAATGTTACAATTTTTCAATTACAAAATGTTATAATCAAAGATCTTACTCACTGTAATTCAACAGCAATCACCGTGTTCAAACAGAACAGTAGACGGCTCACTAGGCTTTTTACGCGCCACACCAAAGTCTGTAAAGGAAAATCTCCAAAACAAGAGAAAGGTTCCGTTATTGTTCAAAAGGAAAACTAGACTAGTAGTGCACAGTTGTTATCAGCTCTGATAAAAGGGAAAGAAACGAACGTTCGTCTCAGATAATGGTGGTGACTTACTAATTAACTATCGCTACAACTTCCGTCAACTCTCTGCCCTGCACTGGAGAAGGGATAACGCAAGGACTAATGACTACAAATGCATTGTAGTTGTAAGTTTAAAAAGTTATTGATTTGGGGAGCGTGCTGGTCTAGTGGTAGAGCACGGGACTTCATCGGTCCCTAAGATCCCGGGTTGAAATCCCGCCGAATCACCAATGGATTTTATCTAAGTGATAATGCCGCAAGCCGGCCTGAAGTCAGTGACGTCAATTCACTAAATCCTTGGGGGGGGGGACAAACACCAAGGGGTATGGGGGTATGGAATACCCCCCAGCAAACAAGGGGGGCCCCCCAAGGATTTGGTGAAATGACGCCTCTGAATGCCTCTAAAATTACAATTTGAACTACTTACTGTGTTTATATTTTGTACATATGGTCATAAAAGTAAGTTTGAAACGATATTTTTTATTGAGTGAGTAACGCTGATTAATAATGAGTTTAGAGGCATTAAACTTTTAATGTTTGTTACAAAAGCTGATAAGCTGTTACATTTAGCTTTAACTTTTCATGTCAATGTTATGAAACGAAACGGCTGTTATGTTCCGTTTCGTTGCTCTCCGATCCGATCCTAATCGCACATTGTTTCTTTTGACCATTACGTTATTCATTCCCACCGCTTACCACTGGTAAGGGTTGTAGCTCGATAAAGAGAGAAAGTTCGTGTCAGATCGGTGATACCGTTCATTTCGAAATCGAACATAACGTAACGACATGAAATGTAACGGAACGGAACGTAACTGAACAGATCGGAACTGACCAAAACGGATCGGACCAGACCGGATCGGACCAGACTAGATCGGACCAGACTAGATCGGACCAGACCGGATCGGATCGGATCGGACCAGAACGGATTAGATCGGACTGGCACGGACCAGACTGGACCGGCCCGAACGGGACTGGAACGGATCGGACCAGTTCAGATTGGATTGGGACGGGTCGTAGCAAATCGGAACGGAACTGAACGAAACGATACGAAACGAAATGATTTTGACACCACGTGTCATTAACCTATTTAAGACAGCCTCAACACGAGTTTTCATTTCTGACATGTCCTCAGCGTAAATCAGAATTTCATAAATATAACAAGCATATCCTTCAAGACCCATTAGTATTTGGTCCATTATTGATTGGAAAAGCACGCCTGCACTTGTTATTCCATAGGCTAGCCTGCGATATCGGAACAACCCCTTGTGGGTAGTAATTGTCAATAATTCTTGTGATGATTCGTCAACCTTAAGCTGTAAATTTGCTGCAGAAAGGTCCAATATAGCATAAACTCTAGCACCTGATATTTTGGTCGAAATATTCTAAGGATTTGATAGTCAGTCATTAGTATGATAAGTAGAACTGTGGATTTGGTTGTGAAAAGTTTTTTTTTAACAGAAATAATATAAAAGTTTATGAGCGTACTAAATTATTTCTTATATATTTTTATCTCATATTTGAACATTGACATATTACCATTATTAAATACTTTATAAATCTGTACCCAAGAACATAAACCTCAACTAGGCAGATCAAGGTAATACCACGGTAAAGCTAAGTCCTAGATTCACCACAAACCTCAAACTCTCAGTTAAATCTTGTTAAGCTATCTCAGGAATTCCATTGATGTGAGTATCGCTTCGTTAAATATATAACCTTAAGGGTCTTTAAATTTTTATTGTGTATACTAGCTGACCCGGCGAACTTCGTATCGCCTAAGTTATAGGTTTCCCCTAAGACAGACCGATGGAAAGAAAGTACCGTTACGTTTAATTTTCAAGATGATCTCGTTCGCATCGCTCAATCACGTCCTGGTTGAAGTTCGTTCACTACGCTCACTCACCTTTGGGTTGGAGCTCGTTCGCTACGCTCACTCACCTTTGGGTTGGAGCTCGTTCGCTGCGCTCACTTGCCTTCAGGTTAGCTCGTTCGCTACGCTAACTCGCCTCCAGGTTGAAGTTCGTTCGCTACGCTCACTCACCTTTTGGTTGCAAATAAGCTGTTGTCATAAATGTAAAAGAAATATTAGTGCTGCACCCTGTTGGTAATCCTTGTAACTTTAATGCTATTGAACATCATAGAACAGAACCAACTTGTTTAATTGAAACAGCTGTAAAGATTCATTAATTCAATTTCTCATAAGGTTAACATGGGAAACTCCAGAGCCACTGGGGCGGAGCCCTTTTAAGAATTTCGAAACGGGAAATAGTTTACGTCCGATTCGCATACCTACAGAATTTACACACCAAATTTCATAACGATCGGTGAAGTCGTTCCGGAGGAGTTTGCAGACAAACACTGTGACACGAGAATTTTATATATTAGATTTTTACTGTGTTTATATTTTGTACATATCCTATACTCTAATACGAGCAAAGTTTGCTTGTATGTATGTATGTATGTATGTATGTATGTATGTATGTATGCTTGCACCAAGATCTTGAAAACGGCTCCGACGATTTTCTTCAAATGTTGTATATAGTTTATTTCTGGCCTAAAAACGAGTTTACTGCAATTAGAATTGCCATCAAAAATCTAATTACGTAGAAAAATGAAATTGAAAATCACATTTTTTTAACATTAGTCTTATGGGTTGCTAGGTAACCATGTTGGCTGAATTAAATAACAAGGAAAAAGTAAACAAAAGACTTGTAGCTTGTAATTCGTCTATCCACAGTATACTAGCAAAACAAAATACAGTACAAAAGGAAAAACATCAGTTGTTACTATTGAGCAAAGATTATACTGAAGATTACTAGATTCTATAGTCAAGGGTAGCAGTGTGGAGTGTGGGATCTGTTTATGACGATGAGATTACGGTATCTGCAATCCTTAAATGCTATGGAAAGGGAGGAAAACAGGTCCACGACATAGGAAGTGGTGAAGGAAGTAGTAAAGGCGAGCAGTCTGGAGTGTGGGAACTGTTTATGACGATTAAATTAAGGTATCTGCAATCCTAAAATGTAATGGGAGGGAGGAAACAGGTCCATGACGTAGGAAATGGGGAAGGAAGTTGTAAGGCTAGCAGTGCAGAGTGTGGAAACCGTCTGTGGCATTTATGTATCTGCAATTTTAAAATAGTATAAAGAAGAAGGGCAAACAGGTCTACGACATAGGGAGTGGTGAAGGAAGTAGCAAGGGTGAGCAGTCCGGAGTGTGGAAATTGTTAATAACGATTAAAACAAGTTATCTACAATCCTAAAATGCTATGGGAAGGGAGGGAATCAGGTCCGCGACGTAGGAAGTAGAGAAGGAAGTAGTAAAGGCGAGCAGTCTGGAGTGTGGAAACTGTTTATGACGATTAGATTAAGGAATCTACAATCCTAAAATGCAATGGGAATGGAGGGAAACAGGTCCGCGACGTAGGAAGTGGTGAAGGAAGTAGTAAAGGCGAGCAGTCTGGAGTCTGGGAACTGTTTATGGGAATTACATTAAGGTATCTACAATCCTAAAATGCTACGAGAAGGGAGTAAAACAGGTCCATGACGTAGGAAATGGTGTAGGAAGTAGTAATGCTAGCAGTGCAGAGTGTGGGAACCGTCTGTGGCATTTATGTATCTGCAATTCTGAAATAGTATAAAGAAGGAGGGCAAACAGGTCTACGACATAGGGAGTGGTGAAGGAAGTAGCAAGGCTGAGCAGTCCGGAGTGTGGGAATTGTTAATAACGATTAAAACAAGTTATCTACTATCCTAAAATGCTATGGGAAGGGAGGGAATCAGGTCCGCGACGTAGGAAGTGGTGAAGGAAGTAGTAAAGGCGAGCAGTCTGAAGTGTGGAAACTGTTTAAGACGATTAGATAAAGGAATCTGCAATCCTAAAATCCTATGGGAAGGGATGGAAAGAGGTCCGCGACGTAGGAAGTGGTGAAGGAAGTAGTAAAGGCGAGCAGTCTGGAGTGTGAAAACTGTTTATGACGATTAGATTAAGGAATCTGCAATCCTAAAATGCTATGAGAAGGGAGGGAAACAGGTTCACGACGTAGGAAGTGGTGA